AACAAATTGTAAAACCATTAACAATGTTTAATCAACCTGATGATAGATAGCCATTAATAGATTAAGTAATAGCACATCTGTTCATGACATCTAAACGAAGCTATTCTAATTTACTTAACTATCACTATCTTTCTTATTCCCCTTTTTCGCTTTTTCTTTTAGCCAAATAATAAATAAAAAATTTTTTTCCCTGTCTCTAATTTTTTCATTTAACACATTCTTTTATTGGATGATTCATATTAGGAAATGCAGTAAAATTGAAATTTGAATTATAAAATTGATAATATTGAAAAGGAATAAAAAGCAAAAAAAAGTGAAAAGAAAAAGAATGAATAAATACTTCAATGATTTTCAACGGTTAATTAATTATTACACAATTAATAATTGGAACAATAATAATTCCAAAATCGATGCATTATGTTGAATAAATGTTAAATGATGGCTGCTCACATTTTTGCATTTGATTAAAATTAATCATTTTTATGTTATTGTCGGATTAAAAATGCTGTGAATTAAATTAAATCAATTCATTGTTACAATTGACCGGAATCTAAGCTTTAAATTCACCATATTATGGTTTTCATGCTTTTAAAATAATTTTCCATTTTCTTTTTTTTTAGATTCTAATTTTAATTAGGGAATAAAAATTCTAACTTTTAATATGATAAATGTGCAAATGTCAAATAAAAAATTTGGAATTTTTATAGAGCAAAATCTTGAGAATTAATTATTCTTTCCAGGGTTATCATGCATCATCAGTACACGATCTCAACAGTGCTTCATCATCATCTGCAGCTGCAGTTGCAGTTGCAGCATCTCAACAACATCCATCAACAACCCCCGATAGCCACCCTTTAGTCTTGGGCGGGGTGCCCCCTCTGACGGCTGGGGGCACCCAAACGTCCATATCGCTAACAGCCGTCAGTAGTCCTTCAGGAAGGTATACCGATTTGGAAAAATTTGAACGCAAAGTAATTGAATTAAGAATAGAATGAAATTCGAAATGAAGAACAAATGAAATTTGAACTTATAAGCATCGCTCCAATTACTATAAATCTTAATAGAATCTTGACCGCAACCAACTATGAACATTTCAAACTTTTTAACCTCACTAATATCTTTTAAAAAAATATACTTCCAATTTCTAAATTATTTTGTTGTATAACAAAAATAAAAATGAAAACAAAAGCAGAATTTAAATATTATTACTTACACATTTAATTAAATATTTTTTATTAAAAGGAAACAGAAAAGTTTTAAAAGAAATACGAGGAAATTAAAATTTTAAATTTACAGTTCATCAGCGGGTGGTCAACGACTTGATTCAACGCCACATTCGGTGGAAACACCAAATCAATTGCTTACCGCTCAACAACAAGATAATGTTTCCGACACAGGTATTTTTATTGGCTTGTTGATTTTATATTTTTTTTCTAAACTCTTTTCCAAATTCTTTACTTCCTTTTCTAAATTCTTTATCAGAAAACGAAAAAAAATTTGTTTTTTAACACTCTTTTTTCAAAACCAATTTAAGAGAAATTATTTGATAGATGGCATAAGTCAAAAATTCAGCTTAATGTTTTTCAATTAACAGTAGTGTCATACAGAAAAAAATCGTCGACGAATGGATTATTTTTAGCTAAATTATTTTTTTTTATAAATTTGCTCTTCTTCTGCATTTCATGTAAAATTTCATAATTTTCAATTTCTTTTTTTAGCTGGGATACGTTTTTATAAGGGCCTATTATTCTTTTACGATGACGAATATCCTAAATTAGATTAACATAGCCAGTATACAATATGTATATTGATATTGACATATTGAAATTTAACTAACATTGATTTATTTGATTTAAAATTTTTATTTAATTTGAGATTACTCTTTGATTTAAATATTTTTCCAATATCTGTTTTGAGAATTTTCTTCCTAAAATTGGTTCGCTGGCTAATTTCTTCCATTTTGATAACTTTGAATTTTACAATCGCTTTGCAACAAGCAGTAGTATGTGAGGTGATTTAAAAAAAAAGAAATTTCCAAAAAATTTGAAAGGCATGAAATGAATGCAATCACTTTATTACAATTATTACATCTTTAAGTCATAAATATATTATATCGAATTTCCATAAAAATTGTAAGTTGATTTCCATAAATTATTGTAATAATTCATTTTTTTTAATTTATTTTTTATAAGATTCTAAGAAATTTGACTTTTTTTCTTTCTTTTTACTTTTTCTTCTCTATTTATCGCTTAATGAATTCATAAATAAACAACTTTTACAAAAAAAAAATTCCGCCTTTTTTTACTTTGTTTCCATTTGACTCTTATTTAGTTCATTAACTATAGATTCCTACAGTATTCTCATTTCATCTATAGGACTTATTTCTGAATCTACCGCATTAATTACTGAATTTATGCTAGTTAATTTTAAATTAATATATATTCATTAATTTACACGAACGTTGTCTAACTAATCATTTCAATTTTGCACTCATACATGTTAACTTAAAACTTATCCTAAATCGTTTATCCGAAATGACACTTTTACGCTACACTGCACTCATCTCTTGTAATTTTCAATCCTTTAGGTAAATTAATTATTATTCATCTAAGAAAGATGTGTATGTATATTATTACTGCAAATTGTGAAGTTTTTGTTTTATAAATTTTTTTAAAATTATTTCGCACCCATACATTTATTTAGGTTTTAAAATTATTAAACAATAATTAAAATCAGTGTAATCCATTGCTCAATATTAAAAAATTTAGAAATTTGCCTTCTTTAAAATACAACACTTTTTGAAATTTTGCTGATTTTGTTTCTGGCAATATACTATTCATTATCTATTGCTCCTTCTTTTTCTAGTTTAATGTTTTATATTGAAAATAAAAATTGCCAAAATTTTAAAATTTAATTCATTAAATATTGTTATTATATTACCTATGTTTCCTGTTTTTTAATGCCATCTTTTATTTTACGCATTATTGAAAATCTTTTTCAAGTTTTGCTTTTGCATGGCTAATAATGTTATAAGCAATGAGTTTGTCTGCATGTTATTTCAAAGTTTGCTTTAAAAAGCTTCATGTTGTTTTTTCGCTTTTTTGTATGCGGATAAACACGTTTGCAGGTAGCAAAAGTTCGGGCTCATATTCATCCTCTATTACCTCATTCTGTCGTTTTGGTCAACATCAGCAATTATCAAACGGAACTATTAACGATTACTGTACTGACAGTATGCCTAAACAATATCAGCATAAGCATGAAAATCACGACACAACATTAACACCTTTATCATTATCAACTGATAATGGAAATATTGCTTTCACTACTATTACTAATGCCAATACTACTACTATTATTATCACCACCACCACAACTACCATCACCAGCACTGTCACCACTGCTGCTACTACTACCACTACGTCATCGGTATTAATGATGTCGCTAACAAAGAAACGTGGAATTTTCCCAAAGCCAGCGACAAATATTATGAGAGCTTGGCTTTTTCATCATTTAACGGTTAGTTTGGATTCAGGAATATGGAAACTGATCCGGTTGAATGATGTAAATTAATTAATTGGAAAAATTAGAAAAGAGTGAAATTTTTTGCCAGCTTTAAATGACTCATTACAGTTAGACTTTGCATTAATTTCCACCTGAATGCAATTAATCATTTTCGCACTCTATCATTGTAACTTCAGCTGAAAGCAATGACAACATAATATTAGATCAAATCTGAAGTATACGTATAAATTAGTATTTTGATTGGAACTTAATAACTAATTATGAAGTGCATAAAAATAAGGTAGAAGAATTAGGTGACACGTATATGCCGGCTTTTTTATTTTTTTACCAATGTGATATTTCGATAATTTTGCTTATATGCGGCTTATAAATAAATATGATTTTTTTGTTTTCCTCATGTTTCTGTTGCTGACTTTATTTTTATTTATTTATGCAAAAAAGTGTCCATTATTTTTTTTTTTCATCTTATTACTGCTAGCATCACTGCTTCTGCTTGCAATTTACTAATACATCACTTTTTGGCTTTTTGAAAAGTAATCTTTCTTATTTACTACAATAATTTGACCAAGTGCTTTAATTTCATGTGCAATCTCGTCATTTTTCTTTTTTTCTCTCTCTGTCTGTCTTTGAGATAATTTATAATCAAATTTAACTTTTTATTATTGCCATAAATTGTAAAATATTTACGCAAGTATTTTACTTGTGTATAATAATTGTTTCAGTACTCTTTCAGTTTAATTTTAATTTTTCGCCTTCTAAATATTCTTGCTACACGTGTAAACTTAAGTATCATATCTAGTTTATAAAATAATTTATGTATATCTTTTTCTTTTGGAATAAAATTTTGAAATTTAAAAAAAATTAGCCAGCAAACTTAAATTATTCATTTATCAGATATTGACGATTATTATGCGATTGTTAAAAATTAAATAAGAAACAAATTTCGGTTTAATTAGAAAGATTAAATTCTTAATTAATCAGACTAATATTACCATAAAAAAACTGTCATGGAATTTAAGTAATTTGTTTTTTTTTTCCACTATTTCCAGAAAAAAAGTAGGGTGGTAGCTACGTAGTGTTTCCAGGTGATGAATCGTTATCGATGTGCGGTTCGTTAAATGATGATGGCGGGAGGGAATCGGTTCTAAGCGAAGGAAATACCGGAAGCGGTGGTGGTTCAGCAACCGGTGCAAATAAACGAAAAGTACCAAAGGTTTTTTCAAAAGAAGCGATCACCAAATTCAGGGCATGGCTGTTCCAGAATCTTACTGTAAGTTTTAGATCATGGTTAATGTTCATAGGTAATAAATATGATTGGAAATTTCATTTCTCTCTATTTTTTTGTCTCTCTCTCTCTCTGTCTCCATTTCTACAAGTTTTTTATCAGTGGCACATTGATAGTACGTGAAAGTATTAAAGAAATGTTAAAGAGAATACATGTTATCAATTTTTCCCGATCAATATTTGAAACTTGACAGTAAATGAAGAAGTTTATTCATCCAAATAAATTTTTGCCAGATTGTATTTATTTTCACTAACTGGATTGTTAAAGTGTAATCGATAATTTACCCTCCATTATATTATCTATTGCCATTGTTATTATTACCATCATTATCATTTATAGTTTTATTTTTTTTTTCATCATTCAGATTTTATGTTATTTTTTCACGACCTTACTAAAATATTTTAACTATTTTGTCATAAAATTACTTCTTTTTCTTTTTTTGAACTTAAATGCTATTTAATCGTTGCGTGCTGATATTAAATAATAACTTCTAAATTGATATGGAAATTTTGAAAAATACGATTATCAAATTCAGTTTTGTTCTTTTATCAATATTTAAAAATTTTCCATTTTTTCCGTTCTTTTTTTTTCATTTCTCATTCCCTTTCATTTCGTATTTTTTGCTGTAATGCAAAGTCATTATTGTATGATCTTAACTTATCATCATATCATTGATACAATCTTCATCAACATCAACATATGTATGATAATAGCTTTTATACTGTGGATGTGGTAGTACAATAAGTAGTTTTTCAAAATCTTTCATTTATGTCCTTGAAATAGCTAATGCATTACAAACGAAAATGATGGGGTTACGGTAATTGCCTTTTTTTTTATTTTTTTAATTCACCGCTGGAAGTCAATCGTTTTGGTGAGAATTTTCATCCCTTTTCATTTTTTTTCTCCTTTTTCAAAGAATTTGTCGGTAAATTGAAATGGTAGGGTGCGGGGTTGCAATAGGCTAAAGGAAACAAAAAAACGACTATGAAAATAAAAATGTGAAATTTGCATGAAATTTAAACACAAAATAGCACTATTAAAAGCAAATTTTTGTCATAATGAAAGAAAAAAAGGCGAAATAATTGAGAAGAGAATGTCTTGCGTTTTCTTTTATTTAATTCATGTAAGGTCAAATTATTGAATTTATTTTTAAAATTTTGTTTACTTTCGTTTGCTCATTTATTTCTAAAAATTTTTTCATTTTTCTTCAATAAAAAAAGTTTTCTTAAGCCTATTCGTTTCTCTTTTTTTCTTCTTTTATTTTTTTGTTTTACCATCTTAATATAGAAAAAAGATTCAATAATGAAATAAGAGAAATTATTATAACATAAATATTATTGTTTTTATTTCTATGGACGGTATCATTAACGGATCATTTTTTTAATTTTGAAAAGAAAAATGAAATTTTCACTTCAGTATTTTTGATTTGCCACTCAAAATAAATTATACATTCTTCTTTAATGCAGGAATTAAAAGAAGGTTTTTGGAAATATAAGCGATCGCAGTACTTTTAATAAATTGTATAATATCGTTTCAGAATATTAAAACGATTGCTGTATTTTATCAAATTATTGTAATGACTACTGTACTTTAATATCTTCTTTATTCTCTTTCTTATTATATCGGAAGATTTTATGGAAATTTTAAGTTTAGGAACAAGCAACAAACTAAAATAATCGAAAATATACAGTTTAGATGACCATTTTGTTAATTAATTTATAACCAAATATATTTGTTCACGAAATTGTTACGATATGTTTAATTCGTTGCATAATACAAAATTAAAATATAACTCGCAAATATTTTAAATATTATTTAAGAATTATAAAGTATTATTTTTATTTAGAAGTTATCCAATTTTTCAATTCTGCTTTCTTTCTTGTCTCTCTCTTTCTCTTATTATTTTTCCGTTTCGTTCTTTTCATTCATTTAATTTTGCATTTTTATTCCTGGAAAAGTCTGCTAATTAGGTAAAATTGATAAGTAACAAACTACAATTGAATTCAACTGAATTGAAATACTGATTAAATGATATGATGACTACTTGCATTGACATGACTGATTGATTGACTAAACAAATGAATGGAATTTATTTAATTGATAAATATTGATTGATTACTAAATGTCAAATGTTGTACTTAACAAATCAGTTCTCTTTCCCTCTGTTTTCTGATTCATTAATTCATTCATCAATTTTCCATTTGATTTGAAACATTTTGGTAACAGTATTCATTTTTCATGCTCGTTATTGAATATGATTGGTGACTGTGTGAGTCTTACAGAAAATTAAAAATAAGAAAAATGATTTCCATTTATTTCTTTTAAATAACGAAATTCATTTCTGACATCTCAGATATTGTGAACAAATACATTTTGAATCAAATTTGAAAATATAGTTTCATTTGATAATTAATTTATGCTTAGCTTATTGATTTCGTAACATGTAACATGGAATTTCCATTAATTCTTACTATGACTGGCAACGAATCTAATTTTTGATCATATTTTATTAACTTTTCAATAAAATACAGACACTTTGAATAATTAATTTTTTTTTCAACTACCAGAATTGAAAATTCGAAAATTTCCTCAACAAAACTGATAATTTCCTTCCTTTTTACACTTCATAATTTCCGTTCTTTTATATATTTTTTTTTTATTCATTTGATAATTTCATTACTATCTCTAATGTTACTGTAATTTGAATCTCTCCAGTACATAAGTTGTTGCTCAAAAATTGCAAACGAAATCTTCAAAAATTTTAACAGATTCATAAATTAAAAGGAAGAAAAACAATGGCAGTGATGCTAGTACACTATACTGTTTCCTTTTTTGTCCTTTATTTTCAATTTTTTGATTTTTATAAAAGTTTAATTTCTCAGAATTTTTTTCTTCTTTCTTTTGCAAATAATTCACTTTTTTAGCATCCATATCCTTCGGAAGATCAAAAGAAGCAGCTTGCACATGAAACTGGTCTAACAATACTGCAGGTTAATAATTGGTAAGCATTGCTTTTTTAATTCGAATTTTTTTCTCTTACTTTTCCTTCAAAACTTTCGTAATGAACACTATCGTAATAATTTGTTAAAAACAAAACTTTATGTAATTTTTTGAATAATTTTGCGCTACCGTAATTACAATATTAAATGTACATTCAGTTTTAAACCATATTGCTAATTATACCAATTATCTTTTCAAAAGAAAGAGAAAATAGTTTCATCGATCGTTGAATTTTTGGAATCATTATTTACATTATTAAATATCGTATGTAAAAATTTGACATTAATTTATATATAAATAAAAAAGTAATTTTCTTGAAGTTTAGGCTTTCTCCGAGTAAATAAAATTCATTTCATTGACTAAAAATTAATATCTAATGTTTAAAAAAATTGAAACTTTACATTTGAGAAGCAAGAAATTTCACAATAAAGCTGGCTTAAACTATTTTTTTAATTTATTAAAGCTAAAAATTTAATATTTAATATATGAAAAATAAAAATAGAACTTGTGCAAATGCTAATTTAAGAGATAAGAAATTTTTGAACATAAGGAATGATGCAAAAAAAAAGAAAGAAAAAAAAAAGAAAGAAAAGAAATAATGATGCATTAGGATAATTAAAATAGACGGTTATATGATCACATATTAATTGCTTGTTTCTTTTCTTTTCTTTCCTTTTTTAATTCATAGATAGATTGAGTGATAATTATGGTACCATTCTGGACAGAAAGGGAGAGGAAGAAAGAGAGAAAGAGCAAAATAGGTCAGCTAAATATAGGTGTCATTAATTTGAGATATGGAAGAAGCATCATTCCCGGTAATTTTCATCATTTTTCACCAATAACCGGGTTTTTCCACCACATGTTATCCTGTATGTCTCCTTATCTCTTCAAAAATTATTTCTCAGCATATAATAATAAAGGGGAATGCAAAAAAAAACGAAAGCAAAGATCATATTACAATAAATATAAACGGGAAAGTGTTATTTTATATTATTTTTTTGAGAAGCATGGGGAGCGAAAAGAATGAAATTGTAAAAGTTAAATGCATAAGTAAGAGGAGAAATAAAGAGATTTAAATGAAGTAAGAGAAATTTTTAAAAAGTTTGATAATTACTGAAGTGAATGAAAAAAGCCTCTGTGTGAAATTTAAGAAAAGAGGAAATTTCTGCTTACCAATTTTCTTTGTCGTTTTTCCATCAAATTGTTTATTGATTATTAATTTTTTATTATTTTCACTTTTCCGTTCCTTATTTTAATGCTTACATTCATATGAATTCCTTTATTTTATATTCTTTTCATTATATTTTTTCCAAGTTTTAA